AGATTGTTGGGCTGGTCGTGTGAAGATCAAACTTGCTCCCCAGAAAATGAGGTAGGGATCAGGTTCGGGGACGGGGGGCCCTGGCACGCGTGCGCACCTAGTTTTGTCGTACTGCAGTTGTCTGGACCTGTGATCTGGACGATCGACCACTTTGCAGCAGAACATGCAAGACCGTCTCATTGCGGGCAGGGTGGGATTGGCTTCTTGAAGGACATAGAAGATTTATTTCGCACTGCCCAGGCTTTGCATCTCTGGAGCGGCTGGAGGCGAAAGATCATCGCCACCCTATGATCCTTAAAGCCTCGAAGTCTTTCTGATGTGTCCCCCGGTTTCGAGCAGGGGCCTGGCAGTGATCAGTGATCCGAGTCTTTCTCCCGCGAGGGATTGAGAAGCCTCTGTGCCTCCCCTCTGGCACCGGTGAAGGCCGTACACCCAGAGTTCTGCGGATTGACGATGTCTGTCGAAATTTCTGTCTTGGGCTTGCAGACACAAGTTGAGCACGAAAGCCCTCCTTCTGGAGTTGGGTTCTAGCTCGTGGCACGTGGATGTTCGAACGCAAGGCTAAGTGGGATGCTCGCTGTGCCCCATGCAATGGCTGACACCTTCCGTTCGCATTCTGAGGACTTCCCGTCACTGGAGTCCAAGGCCGGTGGGAGTCCTCTTGAAATATTTTGAAGCCTTCATACGCTTTCCATGCACAGGAGAACATTCAACCAACCTGGGGCCACGGCAACAATAATAAGTACAAGAGAGCGACCAGTCACGATCTTCGAAGGAGGATGTTCCGTTTGAGGCAGCGCCCTCAGCTGCGGACTCTGGCCTTGCGTTTTTTTTGGAAGCCGTTCACACGCAGAGTGATGCCAGTTTCGTTACCGTACTCCCGTTGAATTTTGCCTATTCCTCCCAGCGCTGGATGAAGCTGCACTGAAATTTGCCCATTCCGAACACGCGACGGAGGTCGACCGCCTGGATGGCACGACTGTCCAATTCGAAGAGAATCCGTCGCCTGACTGTCCCAAGTTGGGCTCATCTTGGTTGAAGGTTTCAAGACTTCCACTTCCAAAGCTTCGGGCTCAGGTTTGCCTCCTACCTGAGGCTGCGGCCTGCGCTGGCCTCAATTGAAGTGGCACAGGTGCACCTCAGTCGCCGAGCAGACAGCATGATGCGGCAAGCTGAGGAGGCTGAGAAGATTGTGATCGTGGAGCCACCCATGGAGAATCGTCTGAGTCCTCAGATGTACTTATGCTGACCTTATGCTGCCACGAAGCTGGCGGGTCTTGACGGGCTATCTCGTACTGTGGGCTCTCAGAGGCCAAACCGCTCCTGGTGAGTTTGTGGCATTTTTTGAACCATGGCCCTTGGCCTCGTGACATGTCGTGACTCTGAGATCTCCGCGCGGAAGTGCTCAAGACCAAGAAGCAGCTTCTCGAGGCCTCGGCCTGGGCTCTGCTCTGACCCCTGCCAGGCCTCATTCTTTCGAACCTCAGTTTATGACTGCAGGTTGCACTGAAGATGGAGATGATCGTGCGGGCCCTATGGGTGCCTGCAAAGTGTGGGCCACTCCACCCGTGATGGGCCAACTGGGCTCGTGATTTTTGACGCGTTGGATACCTCCCGTATCCTTCCGTCGTGTCCACGGGCTGTTGCTCCCCGCCAGGCCCTTCATGCTTAGAAAACAGAACTGTTTCCACAGACAGTCCTTCTCGCTGCAATCCTGGCTGGCTCCACGTCTTCACCAGAGCTTCCGCATGTCTCGTCATCTCCGTACTGATTCAACCTCTTGTGCACCCAAGTGCTGCGCGGAGAACGCATGGGATGGCAGTGGGCTTCTTCAGCCACTGCAATTAGTGCGGTAATCTAAGATTCTGGCGCACTTGCCATACGGCTGAAGAGCCCGCAGTGGCCTGCATTTGAACGCCGGATTTCAGAAGGCAGCAGCCTGTCCCTGCGAAGACTGTGATACCGGCAGCAAGAACAATGCGGGACGAAGCAAGTCTCTGTAGATGTGTCAACGCGCATGGCAGTGCATCTTAGTGCATCTTTTTCGACTTGTTGTCCAACCCCAGGATGATCTACGATCCTCACGAGCCTACTTGATCCCACAGCCCCCGAGGCCATAGATCCCGAAACGGACGAGGACTTGGTTTGGATACCATGGCACTCTCAGGGCTCTCACCAGAAGCAGGGCTTCCCAGAAGGAGGGGACCACACATCGCAGGAGACTTCACTGCGGATGCGGAAGCTTCGCAAGGCTCAGAGGCGCTGACTTGCGGCAGTTGAATTTCGTGCAAAGTCTTCATGAAGCTCCGACTGGAAGCTTCCATGGGCAAGACTCAAAGTCGTACCGACATCGTCTACAGCAATCCGAGTCAGTGCACAGTGCGGAGGTATTTCAACCATCCCGAGCGATCGGTGGAGGCCTTGAGCGGGGACGAGGAGAGCTTCCGCCTGCTGGTCATGCCATGTAGCCATGGGCAGGGCATCTGAGGTCTGTTGCTGTCGCTTGCGGTCTGATTCATGCTCCGTGCCTGTGTGCAGGATGAAGATATGACTGTGCAGAACAAGCTGCCTGACTTTTCATGGAAGAGCTTTTCCATCGTACGTTGCCTTACATAAAAGTGGTCTACACGAAGGATTGCAGGGTTAAGCTTCCTGTGGCTAGCGGACTCCTGCTGAGGCAGGCTCATACTGAGTGCTTTATTCGGCACAGCCTTCAAACGGCTCTGCAATGCTGCTGAGGTTGGCATACCAAAGCAATGCCGATGCCAGGAATGCCAAGCGGATGCAAAGGCAACGTGGTGTTGGGGACTTCCGGTCACCGGTCTTGTGTCCGACAGTTTTTACAAGCGGCGCTACTACATTGCGGCATGACAGACTGCACGCTGGAGAGGCACTGAGTTGAATTAAATTGACAATAATTGACATGTCTCGTCTTGATCCCGTAGTAGTACCGCTGAGACAATCATCCTCAAAAAACCCGCCGGACAACATCTTTTCTTGGTACTGGCGAATGTTGCCTACCTGCGCCCAGTGATGGCACCAGCACACGCGGCCCCAGCCGGCGATGGAGCATCGGCATGGTGCGCAGGCGCTGCGGGAAGAGCTGGAAGCCCAATGAAAGCCAGCCTCAAGACCCGGGCAAGTGCAAGTGCCCATCTAACGAAACAGATCGGCTGCATCCTGCATGTACGGGAGGCAGCCGCCCCCGGCCACGGCTATGTCCGCAACGCCGCCCTCGCTGTCCCGCCCCAGCACGGTCTACAAGGTCCTGCTTCGTCACCACATACTCTTACTACGACCACAACAACAACAACTACTACTACGACGACTACTACGACTACTACTCCTACTCGTACTCGTACTCGTACTCCTACTCCTACTCCTACTCCTACTCCTACTCCTACTACTGCTGCTGCTGCTGCTGCTGCTACTACGACTACTACCATGCTACTGCTGCTACTGCTACTGCTGCTACTGCTACTGCTGCTACTACTACTACTACTACTGCTGCTGCTGCTGCTGCTGCTTCTGCTTCTACTACTACTACTACTACTACTACTACTACTACTACTACCAGCACAAATACGACGACGACTACTACGAGTACTACTACTGCCACCGCGGCTCCTGCTACTGCTGCTGCTGCTGCTGCTGCTGCTAGTGCCGTCACTGGTGTGCACCGGAGGGACAGCTCGTTGCTTATCAGATTCCATCAGTTGCTGAGCCGGCCTGACCTGGCCAGACCTTGGCGGAGTTGAGGGCATTGCGCCGTCGCGAAGAGCTGGCCCTGCAGTGGATGGCTTTCATGGAGCAGCCTCCCGGCTTGGTCATTCTCGCAAAGCATGGAGTGAGTCTTAAGAGGGACTCCCGGGGATCACTGACCCCCCCAGCCCCAACAAGTTGGCAAGGTACGGAGGAAACGGCTTGTACCAGGGCCTACACCGCATTTGCACTTGATGTGTCTAGAGCACCTGCTCACTGATATCGTTGGTGGTGATGGCGGCTGCTGGTGGCCTTCTCGAACTTGCAGACCCACCGTGTTGGCGGGTTCCGTTCTGGACAGAAGCATCAGAAGTACGGATGCGTTCCAATTCTGTTCCGGCGCCGTTTATCCGAGCCTTGCCGATTGTGGACGGTGGAAGAGGTGAGGCAATACCAACCGCTATTCTCGAGGCAAACATCTTTCCGAAATCCCCTGACAGTCTCGATAGCCAACGAAGTCTTCGGGTGCATTCTTTGCTTTAGCAACTGCGATGCACTCACTGTCGAGAAGATAACGGCGCACGGCGGCGGCCGAGTTATTATTGCTGTCTTGTTTGGTGGCGCGGGCTTGGTGGCTGAAAGCAGTTCTGATATTTTTGGCCCTGCCGACAACATGTTTGGATCCCATTACACCAGCTGCATAGCGAATGAAGTCTTCGGACGCATTCTTTTCTTCAGCCAATGTGGGGAAGCCATCTTGGCGACAAGCCGCACGCCACCGCCAACACGAGACGATGACTTCATTGTTACTGATCCTGATGCTCGTTTCTGGCAAATCGCGCAGGCGCACTTCGAAGTGGACGCAGCCAATTTGCAGCGGTTCGTCTTCAAGGTGTGCGAACTTCGACCAGCCAATATGGGCACCCGCCACATCTGTCGAGACGAGATCGGGAGAGCTTGGCCAGGCTATCCCGTTGTGGAGGCAACAGTGTTTCGTTTGCTTTGTTCACGCCTGCCTCGGACATCGCACTTTGGCGCATCTATCACGCTTCTTGGCATCGCTTGGTGAGAGCAGCTCTTGGTGGCGCTTGGCACTTGGAGGAGACGAGGATGCTTTCGGCTGAAGCAAAAGATGTTCGATGGAAGTTCAGTGCAGCTTTCACGGGGCGAGTTTTGCATTGCAGGTGCTGTCAACCAACGTCCCCGAGCACATAGTCACCCTAAGCCCGAAACCCGGAACCCTAAACCCTAAACCCTGTTGTATCAGTCTTTCAGGAATCTGCTTTGACAGTGCTGAGGCCATGGAGGCGAAGGCGACACGACAGGCGCCGCAGACTGGAACTGCCATGTCAACCTTCATAATCAGAACAAGTTTGGGGGATATCATACTGTCATTATAATAAGGAACCCCCCAAACCCTGTTCTAATTAATGTCTTTCATGCAAGAGAGGGTTGCTTTGGTTTGGCAGGGATGGCAGATCCACGTCGAGGAGATCAAGGACCCTCTGCAGCTGGGTTGAAGCCGCGAAGGAAAGCATCGGCCACAGAACCGATAGCATGAAGCAAGAAGGAAGAAGGACGGAGCAGGATTTGTTACGATGACGTTTTTTAAATAAGTGGAGGGCGGCCAAGCCCCAGGAGCCACAGAGGTAGTATAAAAGTTCTGTTTAAAATCGAAAAAACATAAACTCCACCCTCAACCTCTCCACCCCACCACCACTCCACCTCTCACACCCCTCCACCCCTCCCACCCCTTCACCCCCCCCTCCCTCCACCATTCCTCCGCACCCTCCACCCCTCCACCCCTCCACCACTCCACCCCTCCACCCCTCACCCCTCATCCCTGCGCCATCTCCGGAGCTTGCTCCGTGCAGAAGGGTGAGGGGTGGAGGGTGGAGGGGTGGAGCGGAGGGGTGTGGGAGTGTTTCAAATGGGCTTGGCGGCCCGGCCCGAAGCCAACGGAGGTAGTATAAATATCTGTTTAGGTATGTAAACATTAAACATGTGCGTATTTCAAAATCGTCGCCGTAGTTTCGTTGCCGCAGAGAGACCGTTGTGCGGGAACCGTGAAGTATCAGCGATTGATGAACGGACATGAACGGACTGCAAGTCTACCTGAGACAGCCAGCCAGGATACCGTTTACAGCTTTTCGTCGCAGAAGGTCCGCATTTTGATTGGGTGTTCCTTGCCCAGCCCCCCTAAACCCGAAACCCTAAACCCTAAACCCCAGCCTCGTTTCTCAGAAGACTTCAGCAACTTTCTGGACTGGGCAGGCAATGACGGCCGAGGCTCGGCCTGGCGAGAGCTTTTCTGAGAGGTTCATCCCAGAGAGCCCAATACCCCCTTAATGAAGGACCCCCTTAATTAAGGAATATACCTTAAATCATAATATGAAGGTCGCTATAATTTAGGGTATATCTTTAAGGGCAACCGGGGACTTCTCGCTTTTGCTCGCAGGTGCTCGTCACATTTGTTCCTTCCCGAGTGGTCTCCAAGCAGCTCCGGCGCGCATCGTCGCTGACTGATGGCCTTCAAGACTTACGCCGCAGGGAGCATGATGGCTTTCGTGGCACTGCAGTTCCATAAAGTCTCAGGTCGGAGACATGAACGGTGGGGACTTTTTCCGAGATGTAGGCAAGGAAGTCTCGAAGCCTCCGTGGGTCGTGTAGCATCGTTTGGCTTTTCTCGAGAGGATTTCAGCCAGAGGGTGCCGGACGCTGAATTGCAACCGATACCCTCCACTTGGCATCCTGCAGACAGTGACTGGCGTGTCAACTTTGAGGCGATGCATCTGCCCAGTTTACAAGTCGTTCGATTGCCTTCCTGGGGAGGCGCAACTGTCGAACCATGTGCGCGAATGTTGCTTGAACAGAGTCAGCCTCTGCACCACCGCAGCAAGGCATGACACATGCAACCTCTGCTGCCTCTGCGTGTCAAGCTCAAGCTCTGGACCAGCCAAAGACGACTTCGTTTCTTTATCCGAGTCCTCGGTGATCTGCTGTAGGATTCAATCCTCACAGCCGGCACAGCGGCAGGCCGGCAACGGCAGCATCCCCATGCATCCCCGTCTTGGAGGGGTGCGGGGCCCCACCGAGAGTTGAGAAGTAGCAGGCTTCGGCTTCTGGCCGCACGACACCCTTGGTGCAAGCGCCGGTGGAATCAGCGCAGCCCTCGCCCTCTCTCAGAGTCGCGCGGCGTGTGTTTAAGCAGAGTTTTGATGAGCAATTTCCATTCTGGGACAAGGCCCCTGCACGCGGACAATCCGACTTCATGGACATGGTTCGGGAGTTCAATGAAGGCGTCGCCGGCGAGCCAGTTTACTCATGCAGTGTTTGCAAGCAGAGGATCGGCGAAGTTGTCCAATCAGCTGTGACTTGATTGGGGTCAGACTTCGTCCAGCCAAGGTCATGCAGTCCCAAAGACGCAGCCAGTGCTGCGAACCTCAAGGGTTGGAGTCGAGTTTGTGCCAAAATCGACACTGAGCGATCACCTCACAAGTGCAAGCAGTCTGGGATGCATCAAATCGCCCAGGTCTGAAACGCCTGACCTTCTGCAACAGCACCTTCACAAGGAGCGACGTCGAGCGATACGGGTAGAGATGCTGGCAGCCCGTTTCAATGCCTTCTTAATTTCAAGTTGTGTCACAATGCGGCTCACACAGGAACCTGCCACGGACCCACGCAGCGAGCTGCTGGCAGCCATAGCTGGTCCCCTAGACGTGTCTTAGACGTTGAAGCCAGCGCAAAGCTTACCCTCTCCGAGGCTTCCCGGCCGACATTGCCAAGCCGATCCCAGCCCAAGGCGATGTGGGGACAGCGAGTCACACCGAAGCCGCGCAAGTCGAATCCTTGCGGCAGGCCGAGCAATTGCGGACCAACATCTTGGAAGACTTGTAAACGGACACCGTCCACAGCCGATGGCCTGGGTTCCGAGTCTTTACTTGCAGACAATGCTGGACCTGTGTTGGCGGATGCGCTTCAATCAACCACGCATGCAGATGTGCGGATTCTCTGGTGCTGTTGCTCGCTACCTCTCTGTTCACAGTGTCGTACACAACCAGCTTGCACTGCCTGGACGGACCATGTACTCGCGTGCCTTCAAACGGCTCTGGCTGACAAGAACGACTCATCCAGATCATCGGTTCCCGCTGTTTGATCAAGTTCTCCATCCTGCATGGGTGCTTGAAGCAGTTTTGGAATGTGTGAGAGGCCGCTGAGCTGTGAGCTCTCTCAGAACACAGCCCTCAAGCCCAGACTATCGTGACGGCAGGAGATGCATGAGAGAGCAGAGCTATCAAGAGCATAGAATGTCCGACGCGGACAGTGCCCTCAGTGGCATGGCCCCTCAGTTCAAGCATGTACAAGGGATCTGGCCTTCCGTGAGAGGCAGGAATTCGGAAGAGTGCTTGTGTCACGGTATATCACGATGCCTCGGACATCACGATCGGGCATTGCTAGCACATGGTTTGGATGACTTTAACCTGACCTTGGAGATGCATCAAGCGATCTGAAAGCAGGATTCCGACCTCTTCGCTGAACGTATTCGAGGTGGCCTTCGCTTCGCTCTTCGTTGCTGCGGCTGGTCAACACTGTGTGGCAGGCAAGCACCTTTTAGCAGTTCGGCAGAGACCGTGTGAGATCTGCTCAGCTGCTGTGGCTGTCAGCTCGCTGTCGCGGTGTCATGCGGGTAGAGAACACACCTGTTGCCTGCAACTCTCTGATGGAGCTCGCCTGCATAAAAGGGTGGTGGCCCGAGCAACCTTTGCTAAGTGACTCGGAAGCAAAGGAGGCAGAGCAACCTCTCACTAGGAGGAACTTCGCCTGCGTGAAAGAAGCACGCCTGCAAGTAGTTGGGCTTCTTGAGCGGCTGCGGATTTTCCCACTGTATCCCCCTGTCCTGTTTGTGTGGGCTCATGCTGATGACATCTCGCGGCTCTCCAATGCTGCCTTCTTTCCGCAGTCTGTGCTGTTCGATTGCTCACCATCATCTTGAGCTGCTGTGGATTAGAAAACCTCCAGTCAGGACGAAGGTCGATGTGGCTGTAGTTTGTACTGACGAAAGAGGCCTGGGATGCTGACGGCTCATCAGCAAATGCACTTGGTCAAGACAGGTTGGGGATCATGGCGAGGTAGCAACAACACTGATCGGCAAGATGATACGGAGTAATTCGACAAACAAGGTGAAGGTGTTCTAGGTTGTTGGGGGTGAGCCTGCACATGAATGGGCGGCGAAGCGAGAAGATCTGGAGGCATCGCATAGACTACGCGTTGCTTTTGGCGTGGTTGGATCTCAAAGCCTGGACGATCCTGAAACCTAATGCCATGGGAAACATTGTCTGACGACGGCGACAGGCCGCCCTGGAGTTCAATCCGGCTTAAAAACTTAAAGTACAGTGGTTGCGGTGGTGCTTGTTGGGGCTCGTTTGCAGTTTGGGGTTCTTTGAGCAAGGGAAGGTCAATTCCGTGTTGCTCTTGCTTACCGCCGTCGTATTGCTCCCTGCACCACGCTACAATCTACAACACTCTTGTCTACAAACCTAACGATTAGTGCATATTATTATGCATAATATTAACTAATCCCCTTCGTTCATTCCTAAATTCTCTATGTGCTTCT